CCCTGGGCCAGCGCCTCAGCACCCTCACAGGGAAGAGCTTCTGCCTCAGAGCTCATCTCAGTCTCCCCTCTGGCAGGTTTAAGCCATTCCCCTTGTCCTGTCCCTCCATCCCTTGTCCAAAGCCCCTCTCCAGGTTTCCTGGAGCCCCTTTAGACACCGGAGCTGCTCTAAGGTGTCCCCACATGAACCACTTTTGAGATTCTGGATTTCAAAGTAAGGAGTTTGGGCTCGTGCAGACATCACTCCTGCTTCCCAACTTTGCAGTATTGCAGAACCCACCTTTAGCTCAAACCACTGCAAATTCACCAGTGCTGACACGTTCTGTGCAGATCTCAGCCTCGGTGTGTGACTCTGAGCCCCTCTCGCAGGCAGGAGCAGCACTGTCCTGCTTGCCAGAGCCTGCCACAAGAGAGGCTTGAAAACCACAAGATAGTCATAAATACCACTGGGGAGTGAGTGTTTCCCAAAGGCTACGTGCCACATGGGTACAAGAGGTGGCCCTTTCTCAACCTGCGATGGGCCAAGTTCTCTTCATCAGGGACTGCAGTGATAGGACAAGGAGTGATGGGTTTAGACTGAAACAGGGAAGGTTCAGGTTAGATACAAGGAAGAAGTTTTTCCCTGTGAGGGTGCTGAGGCGCTGGCACAGGGTGCCCAGAGAAGTGGTAAATGCTGCATCCGTGGCAGTGTTCAAGGCCAGGTTATACAGAGCCATGGGTGACATGGTCTAGTGCGAGGTGTCCCTGCCCATGGCAGGGGGTTGGAACTGGATGGTCTTAAGGTCCTTTCCAACACAAACCATTCCATGATTCTATGAAATTAATTGACACCTGAACAAAACTGGAATGAAAACGTTCTTTAATAGCAAAAGAACATCTCTTGTTTGTCACTGCAGCCCGGGACTATTTTTAACACTAGCAATGAGTGACTAAACCAGGGTGGAGTAGCACAGGCAGCCCCGCTGCTCCCAGCCACCCACAGGGCTTATCTGACCATCAGAGGAGGAGCTGGACCAGGGCCATCCCACGTGAGAAGAGAAAGCAAGGCGCCTGCAAACGTGACCCAGGTATGTCCTGGGCCCTGCGTGGTGAAGACATGTGCAACAGTTCCTGTGGCTTATTCAGACAAGTCCCAGCCTCCTCACAGGGAAGGCACGTGAAACACTGGAGTGTTTTAATCTGTGTTAATCTCTGCACAGGGCTCACGGAGCATGTAGCTTGTATCTCATCTGCCCATCAGGAAAACCCAACTCTGCAAAGAAGTTATTCCTGGACTAGAGCTTCAGAAGTGGTACCTAAATGAAGGCAAACAGTGATTTCCCACAGTAGATGACCAGGAAATGTAGCACTCAGACCACGTTTGTCCTCCTGTCCTTTGGAGCTCTGCAGAGGTGCGCTAGCGGTCAGGGAGTCGGAAGCTGTTCCAGCGGGTACATCCTGCATCCCTCCTCCTCCTGCCACCACCGCCACTGCTGCATTCCGAGCAGGAACTGAAAATAACCGTGGGAAGGACCAGCTGGCAGCTGCCGAGTGCAGCGTGCTGCCTGCCAAGTCCTTCTGAGCAGAGGAGCACAGGGACTGAATGGGAATGAAGACACCGGGAGCATGACGGCAGTGCGGCAGCATCGGGAACGCAGCGCTGGCCTGAGGGCAAAAGAGACACTCCACTCTGGACAAACAATGTGGTAGAAGAATATGTATTTTACATATATATTATATAGAGGCATATTTAAAAGCCTGCCTACTATAGGGAACTGCTGTGAAATGTTCAAACCTCTATTCCTACTACATTGTTAAAGGGAAATTGTCAACTCTATTCATTACAGAAGAAGAGTCAGGTGCCTACAAACCAGGGCACGCTCTGGTGCAGGTTGCTGCAGTGGTGGAAGATAAAATGCTGAAGCAGCAAAGCCTCTGTCCCCAGAGTCTTCATTCTTCTATCAGCTGGGGAAAATAGCAAGCACTTGGGTGTCCAGCCAGGAGCTGAGCTCATGGAGCTGCTGCTGCTGAGGACCAGGATAGGACACCAGCCCTCGGTCTGCCTGGGCACTTGCTGACTTTCCCCAGGTCTGCTGCCCAGCTGGATAGTGAGGACATGGCATTGCCAAACCCTGCAGCAATGGCTCAAAGCATTACCATGTCAAGGCAGAGTCACTGACACCTTGTGCCTTTGCCTTTAAAAACAGGGGGGGTTCCACCCTGGACTGTACAATTCCACTTGGTTGATTCACCAGAAACACTGGCTCTGTCACCTTGAATGTTCCCAGCTGTGACATGCACAGGACCAAACTGTTCCAAAAAGCACTACATTCTAAGGAGATTTAAATCACAGAATCCCAGACTCGTTTGTGTTGAAGGGACCTTAAAGCTTCTCCAGCTCCAACCCCTGCCCCGGGCAGGGACACCTTCCACTAGAGCAGGTTGCTCCAAGCCCCTGTGTCCAACCTGGCCTTGAACACTGCCAGGGATGGGGCAGCCACAGCTTCTCTGGGCACCCTGTGCCAGCGCCTCAGCACCCTTACAGGAAAGAACTTCTTCCTTATATACAGTGTTAAATCTCCCCCGTTTCAGTTTGAACCCAATTACCCTGTGTCCTATCGCTCCAGACCCTGATGAAGAGATCAAGGAGTTTTATGTATTGTTACATGGCTTTTCAGACCTTAGAGAGAAACAGTTTAAACATTTTCCATTAGGAGGGATGGCAGAGGGAGACAAAATAATAGTTCACTGGTTCGAAGCAGTAACTTCCCTGGAATTACAACACACACTAATAAGACAGATATACAGAGTACAGCTTGGAAATCTTTGCTTCTGCCCATTATATTACCACATAGCCTTAAAAATCAAGGAATTAAGTGATTTGGGCTGGCAAAAGAAAATTACTTGGAGAGATGTTCCTAAACTTAGTGGAGAAGAATGGCAGTTTTCTAGAACTATTAAAAACAAGTGCTTTACTGCTGCTATAGGGAGACATGATGTTAGTTTACCCGAGGCCCCTTACACATGACCTCAGGGCTGCTCTGGCTCGTGTATCCACTTATAAGATACAAACTGGGGTTTAAACAATTCTTTTCTTTGCAAACCAGTACCATAAACACCTAAAGTTACTGAACTCCAATGACTGATAAACTTACACAAGGTGCTATAACTGATGCAGACCAGCGGCAGCATGTATCTGGTGTAAACTGAGCCAGAAACACTTCCACCAGATAGATTTGTCCTCCCAAATCACAAGCCTAAGATCTCAAAGGTCAAATTTCCTTAAGCAACTGCCTAGAGCTGTCAGAAAAAGCTCATCGTGCTCCTTTATATTAATGTACAGCTAACGGAGAAGGAAAATTTAAACCCAAATCTTTATTCTTAGGATTTACAACAAAGGCTGCGCAGTCTCAGTGCATACCCGAACATACAGAGACCTGAACACCAGGTCACGAGTGGTGAAGCGAGGAGGGGATCTGATTTTTGCTTGGTCAGGTTTATTTAGAGGCAGAAGCTCTTATGTCTGCAGAGAGGCTGGGAAAATAGAACATTCCCCCCTCCAGCTTTTGCTCAAGGGTATTTTAATTGCACCCAATGAGGATCCAGATTTCCTCCCAGATTTGGTGTTAATTCACTGTTTTCTAGAGGATGGTTTATCCATGATGAGAAGGCAAAACAGAGCTTTTGGGCATATGCATATTACATAGTTTCTGAAGAATGCCTCTGTAAATTGCAAGTATGGTTACAAATCACTGTACTTCCAAAACATAAGCATGACCCATGGTTGTCTTGAAGTCTTTTGCCCCTGGCCTAAGACTATTTTAAAGAATATGGAGGTATCAAATCAAGCTAAGAACCTGCAGGACTGAATTTATGCCAAATTCATCTGCATATTCATTCATATATATATATATGCCATATTCATCTGCATATGCAAATTCAAACTGCATCCCTGCACGTACCAGTTAGCAACTGCATTGATAACAATGACTGACAACATTGATACATTGATCTCTTCTTATCAGGAGATGGTAAATGAATACACAGATTAAAAAGTGCTAAGAGTCTTTTCAAGAGGGCTACATGAAAAGCCTTCAGTAGACACTATTTTTTCACAACAAACAGCCAGGTTTAATCCCACAGTTATTAGGAATTATTTAGTGAATAGAAAAAGATGATTTTTCACTCCCCAAATAGTAAATAGCACATGTATCCTTCCAGCGGAGAGAGAAAGCACGGAATAGCTGCAGTTCACTTCTTCTTGATTCACAGTTGCAAATAGTAAGAGTTCACAGCAAGAACTTCCTCTTTCAGAATAAAGGAGAACCATCCAGTTGCTAAAAGTACAAATCTCGTCTTCTGTCATGGATCTGAATGCCTGAAAGACACAGCAGGATCAGGGCGGTCAAACACAGGCCGTGCAATCTCTGCAGAGGTGGTGCAAGCAAAATTGCATCCTTGGGTCTGATGCAAGATGGCCCTTAGGAGAACAACAAGAAGTATCTCCAGAACATTGCACACCAAAGAACCAGTGTCAGGGGACCTCAACCTGAAACTGGTTGCTTGAGATACACTGCAAGGGGTGTCCTGTCTTTTTGGGGTCTGAAACTGGGACAGCCAGTGTAAACCAGGCATTGTGAAGAGGCACAATGACGGTAGAACCACAAGAACTACAGTAGATGGGGTTAGAAAATCATATATCTTATTTAACAGAATGTTAAATAAGTAGTTATGGGAGGTAATGTGTCTATCTGAGGGAAAACAAGCTTCGGAAATAGAGCATGGAAGCAAGCAAGGAAGCATCTCGAATTCTGCATGCACAAGCAAAGTATCCTTCATAGACGAGCATCGATTTGTTCCAAACCTGCTGGCTCCAGTACTCACCTGCAGTGGCGTGGCTTCCACTGGCATTCTCTGAGCCTTGGTAAGAGCTTGGTTTCCTCTCTTAAAGAACAGAAAACACTCGAGATGAGCAGAGATTCACCGCAGAACTAGCAGCAGACAGCAGTTCCTAAAGAAACCTTGTGCTTTTGCAGCCCAGCCTATAGCGCAGGTGCTGGGGAACTCTGTGCTGGCTGGCACAGCAATATACACTCCCATAAATATAAATATCAGCTGTTCTTATCCATGACACAGCGTAAGGAGAAGTGAATTGAACAGAGAGAGCCAAGAAACAGGGACTCCCACAGCCTGACAAATGCACAGATCCCAGGGGCTTGCCAAAGCCTCCTTGCGAACACGGGCCAGCCGGTTCCTGTCTGTTCCCTTGGGGTTGCTGGATAAGCACGTGTGATGTTACACATGGAGTAAGGCTCCCTCAATGGTCAGAAAGGGCCTGGAAGCATCCTGAAGGAAAAGGCTTTAACTGGCAAGCGTGAGGCATCCCTGCCCATGGCATGGCCGGTGGAACTAGATGACCTTTCCTTTCCAACCCAAACCATTCTATGATGGTTGGGGGACATCAAGCTGCTTAATTTCCTTTTCCAGGAATAAAAAGAGTCCCTGTTGTTAGCATTGCTTCCCTTTTTGAGCCCAACACTAGCTTCGTGAAACATGTCCTTCTTTGGAGAAGCCTGCTCCTTGGGCTCCCAAGCCTTCCTAGGCTCACATTGCCCCCTTGGGGGAAGAGGGTACCTAAACCTGTTCTTAAATCCTAGACATCCAGACAGTCTCTTTAAAGTAACTGGACTGTCATTTACTAGCTGCAAAAAGCCCAGGGTGGGTGCCTATGCAACACATACATCCAGCCTCAGCTAAACCTGTGTACCATGAGCAGAAGAATGTGTATTCCAGACATTAGACACTCCAGATGAACGGGTTAGCAAAACACCTACAGCTGGGGTCCTTGGAACAGCAGAGCTTTGCTGTACCTCAGAAGAGGACCTGCGGATAAGCCTGCCTGCAGATAGAAACAGCAGGTTTTAG